TTATACAAGCTGTACACTCACTACTTTACATTGTAGCAAAGTGACATTTCTTCAGTGTTGTAACATGAAACGATATAATAAAATATTTACAAAAATGTGAGGGGTGTACTCACTTCTGTGAGATACGGTGTGTGTGTGTATGTATGTATGTATGTATGTATGTATGTATGTATGTATGTATGTATGTATATATATATATATATATATATATATATATATATACAGTGGGGATCGAAAAGTTTGGGCACCCCAGCTAAAAATTTGTATTAATGTGCATAAAGAAGCCAAGGAAAGATGGAAAAATCTCCAAAAGGCATCAAATTACAGACTAGACATTCTTATAATATGTCAACAAAAGTTAGATTTTATTTCCATCAGTTACACTTTCAAAATAACAGAAAACAAAAAAATGGCGTCTGCAAAAGTTTGGGCACCCTGCAGAGTTAATATCTTGTACTGCCCCCTTTGGCAAGTATCACAGCTTGTAAACGCTTTTTGTAGCCAGCTAAGAGTCTTTCAATTCTTGTTTGAGGTATCTTTGCCCATTCTTCCTTACAAAAGTCTTCCAGTTCTTTGAGATTTCTGGGCTGTCTGTCACGCACGGCTCTTTTAAGGTCTATCCATAGATTTTCAATTATGTTGAGGTCAGGAGATTGTGAAGGCCATGGCAAAACCTTCAGTTTACGCCTCTTGATGTAATCCCCCGTGGATTTGGAGGTGTGTTTAGGCTCATTATCCATTTGTAGAAGCCATCCTCTCTTTAACTTCAGCTTTTTCACAGATGGCATCAAGTTACCATCCAAAATTTGCTGAAATTTTATTGAATCCATTTTTCCTTCTACTCGTGAGATGTTCCCTGTGCCACTGGCTGCAACAAAACCCCAAAGCATGATTGATCCAACCCCATGCTTAACAGTTGGACAGAGGTTCTTTTCATTAAATTCTGTGCCCCTTCTTCTCCAAACGTACCTTTGCTCATTCCGGCCAAAAAGTACAATTTTAACCTCATCGGTCCACAGAACTTGTTTCCAAAATGCATCAGGCTTGTCTATATGTTCATTTGCAAAGTTCAAACGATGATTTTTGTGGTGAGGACGTAGAAGAGGTTTTCTTCTGATGACTCTTCCATGAAGACCATATTTGTACAAGTATCTCTTTATAGTGGAATAGTGTACCACAACTCCAGTGTCTGCCAGATCTTTCTGGAGGCATCGTGCAGTCAAACGTGGGTTTTGAATTGTTTTTCTCACAATCCTGTGAGCTGTTCTGTCTGATATTTTTCTTGGTCTTCCAGATCTTGCTTTAACTTCCACTGTTCCTGATGACTGCCATTTCTTAATTACATTCAGAACAGAGGATATTGACATCTGAAAACGCTTTGCTATCTTCTTATAGCCTTCTGCAGCTTTGTGAGCGTCAACTATTTTCAGTTTCAGTTTTCTAGACAACTGCTTAGAAGAACCCATAGTGCTGATTGTTGGGGCAAGGTCAGATGAGTCTGGGCATTTAAAACCTTTGAGATTGACATCACCTGGTCTTCCCAGACGATGATTGAGAACAATCCATGACACTGGCAGGTCTCAGCTTTGCAAAGGGGGCAGTGCATGCTATAAATTCTGCAGGGGGCCCAAACTTTTGCAGATGCCATTCTTTTGTTTTCTGTTATTTTGAAAGTGTAATGATGGAAATAAAATCTAACTTTTGTTGACATATTATAAGAATGTCTAATCTGTAATTTGGTGCCTTTTGGAGATTTTTCCATCTTTCCTTGGCTTCTTTATGCACATTAATACACATTTTTAGCTGGGGTGCCCAAACTTTCGATCCCCACTGTATATATATATATATAATATATATATATATATATATATATATATATATATATATATATATATATATATATATATAAAAATACACAGAGACTGGAGGCGGCAAAAATATACATCAGGTAGGCTAAGATCAGTGATCTAGGCAAACCTGAAGAAGAAATAAATATTAGCTGCCAACATTTATAAATACAATAGATATCTATCACTCAGACCTAATCTTAACATGTTTTAAATAGTGTTTTAGGTGTGTCTCCTAAATATTCACAATTTGGTGTGTACAGATCATTGCTCAATGACAGCTTTAAGTTAAAATATTAAAACACTACCCCATCTTGGAATTATGAGCAGAACAAAAGACCCCCAGCTTTTAATATAAGGAGTCACTTGTCTTCTTTGGTCTCTAGTGCCTCAGATAGTAACAGTATCATTGGTTACAGGTGTGTTAGAGGCCTCCTCCTCTTTGTCAATTATTAAAACAGTCCAAAAGTGAACTATGCCTTAATATTATAATTTTGCATTCTTATATTCTAATAAGCATAAGCAGTCTCATGTATTGCTCAAAATGGGGACACAAATCAGTATAGAACATGTTAACCATATGTACCGTGGAAATTCTCTATGTTGTTCACCTGGCCAAAATGTTTTTTTTTTCCAACTGTGAGTAAGGGATACGATACTTGTTTAGGACTAAGTATTATATTTAGTGCCTAGGTTGCAAGTTGAAATCCCAAAATTCAAAGCTTCAAATGTTTATGCCATACTGAATTTCTCTAATATATAGTGACAGTTGTTTTGATGTCTGTCACTTTTTCCTGTTATTTATTGTCGTGTGCTGCTCTACCATATAAATATAAAGCAAATATGGTGTTTTCTAAAAAAAATAAAAAATAAGAAAATACACTGTATGGTTGATTTTTCATGTCTCTACACAATTCCACGATTGTACAGAATACCGCTGCACCACCCCCTGAAAAACTGAAGTAATGCACATTGTACATTTATTTCCATTTGTGCCTATAAAAATAACTGAAAAGTGTACCACATATGTTTCTAGGTGAGCGTTTGTAATGTTCCTATTATATATTTCTTGTGAAGCATATGTTGTTATTGCACCATATATGAATATGGAGTTGTGCAATGTTGCCCTTTCAATTATGTACTAAAACTTTTAAAATTATGTTGGGGTCCCTTTCAAAGAGACCACATATTTTTTGCTGCTAATTCTTTTAAATGTCAGTCAGGCTATAAAGAATTGAGAGACCTATAGATTTTTCATAATCCTGCGTTCCCATTAGTATGGGACATTTGGCCTGCGCCCAGCGGGAGAGGAGTCAAAGTTCAGCCTCTCTAAGGCTAGAACCTGTTTCAGGAGAGGCCATAAAGAAGCTCCAGTCTCAGCTCTCTATTACATAGAAAGGAAAAAGTTCTCATGTTTTGATAAAAGAAAAAGTTTGTTTTTTTCAACAGAGTCACTGTACCATTGTCCAATACCTGCATTTTCACTTCTATCACCGATCCAAAAAATAAAGTCTTCATTCCTCATTTCAGGATAGTGGCCAAATATACAACCATTGGTTTATGATCGCTGCATATATACAGGCAGATGCAGCCGTGTGACAGGCTCTTACATTCCACTTATTCTATACACGAGGATATTTATCAAACTGAGGATTCGTTTGCACTCCATACACAAGTGACTATCCCTAGATGACATCTAACCTTACCAACTATGCCTATATATAGACCAGATTACCTTCACATTAAAAAAATAAAGTTATAGAGCAACACTAGATCAAGGATGATCAGTCTGTATGTTGGGACACCACACAATGAAGTAGAATTAATATTCAGGTTTCTAGGCTGTCACACATACCTTTTATTCTAGTGAACTGATTGAACAAGAGTACCTTCAGGGACCTATTCAGAGACCATTGGGGTCTCTGCCACCTTCAGGAGGGATTGGACACTAGCAAACAAAAAGCTGTTGGCCAGCCAGGTGTAACCCATCATGCTTCAGTTTTGTAGACAAGCAGTATTAAGAGTAGATCATAAACAGAGATTAGTGTGACCTGCATCCCTTAGAAAAACCCTAAGAAACAGATTTTATGGTACAAAATTCCTGTTTTCTTTCTCACCCATTAAGAGACACAGGAATCAGTTATTCAGAAACAATTTGGACAACCAAAAACAGTCCAACTGAGGGATGAACAACAGTAAGACAACAATAACAGGCCACATAATAAAACAAATAGAAATAGGGCAGCGTGTATCTCAAAGATCTGCCTAAAGGAACTTGTCACATGCGGACTGGACATCCAGCTGGTAAAACTTAGGAGAATGTGTGAACAGAGTCCCAGGTGACAGCCTTGTGACTCTAGGAAACAATTACTTGATGTCAAAATTCCCAAGAAACACATACAGGCCTAGTACAGTGTGCCCTGATAGGAGAAGGTGGAACCCTGTCCTTAAGACCATAACTCCAAATTCCTGAAACACTAGGCCAATGATAACCCAGTGTTCAGTGTCAGGTAAGTAGGCTTTTTTTAGAGACTGAACCAGTTTACCCACAATATGTTTTAGGGGTCTAGAATGGAATTGAGCAAATGGTACTGTCTCAAAGGAGGCTACCATCAGGCTAAGAACTCTCATGCACAATCAACAAATTGGGCAGCTCCTGTAGAAACACTCTGGCTTTAGCTGTGTCTAGGATGAGACCCAGATATTCTAAAGTGATGAGTCAGTTCCAGAGCTGATTTCTGAAGGTTCAGGATCCAACCAATCCCTTTAAAAGGTCTGACCTGGAAAGCGTTCTGAGGTCTGGGAAGCCCAGTGATCAAGGGTCACATTCCAGGCAGGCCCCTCAAGCTTCAGTCCAGCAGAGTCTGGATATGGGTCTCCAAAAGCTATTGCTGAGAATATGCCAATCCAGATAGCTGCATAAAGAGCTTGGCTCAGCAGCATGTAGATAAAGTCTTGATTGAAGAAAAAAAGTTTTGAAAAAAAGAGAGAAAAATGACTTGTAAAAATTGTAAAACTTTCTCAATGAAGAAAAGATGTCCTCCTGGGACAGCAGGATAATCCATTTGCATGTTAATACCTAATTCCTGTGTACTTTAATGAAGAAAGAAATTAACAGTGCAAACGCCTTACAGCAAAGTAAAATATGCTTACCTAGTAGCTCCACACCTCGTGTGAGCCCATAAACATCAATTAAAGCCCAGAGGGGTTCTGTAGTCCGAACTCCACTGAAGAACAGCATTGCTCCAGAATCATTAACCCGATAAAACACTCGACCCTTTTTATCTACCCAGAAGGCTATGATGTTTCCTTCATTCGCAAACTCTTCAGGTAATGCCTTGGCCCAGAATCCACTTTGAGAGACGAGGTCAGGACAGGCATACTTGGGTAATGTGTCAGGATTAATCCGTGATGGATCTTTGGAAGTGAATCCAAGCCTGAGAGCGCCACTCCAACAGCATTGTTTTTTGGTTATCTGAAAAAGAAGTAGTAATTTTAAAACATGCATATACAAACTCGAGATTTAAGAATTTGTCAAACACAACAAAGTGCACAAAAGTAGTGACTGTTCAAATTATTACGGTTTCTTTGTTACCAAGGGACTAGTGAAGGTATACAGACTAGTGCTACAGAAGAAGAGATTGTTCTTGCAAAGCAAGTGCATGAAATCATTCACATGGGATTGAGCTGCTATCAGAATGCATTTACCTTTTCTTAATGCTTCCTGTTTCATTGACAGCTGCTGATGCATGTTCTTACATTAGTCTTCTGGTAACAGACAAGCTCTACTCACATAATTTCAGATTACCCCTCACTTGTGGTTGCATTTCCAAGACAGGAGGTGAAGGGAAATTTCCCCAGATGGGCACAGGGCCAGGCACTTCTTTTGTACATTACTTGTGGATAGGGCAGTAATGAAATTAATGGGCTCTGTCACTGCATAGGTGTGAATAGAGCCAAACTTTATGTGTTGGCAAAATAAAAATAAGATTCAGTACACCTCTGTAATACATGCACATTTTATTGTGTTATGTCTCTAAAAATGCTTCGAGTACTATAAAAACTGTTGAAGACAATGGAGTTACAGTAGCTGCACTGAAATCCAAATCAGTGTTACCAGTCTTGTCTGAGTTCCCATCTGCTGAACTACAGAACTCCCCCACTTAAATTATACTGATAAGAAAAGGAGGAGGTGTGAACAAAGGTGGTATATTTGTGTCAATATTAAATGGATGAAACATTCAGATATGTACTGATATGTTTGTTTTTTTATGTCCAAGCACATACTTTAAGCCTCAGATCAGTTGTTAATAGTGAAATTACATTCCTTTTGTTTTGGTTAGGAGACAGAGGAGCTCTGTGTTTGTGAACACAGAAGGGCTGGTAGCAGGAGCTCATGTTTAGTCTAATGTGAAGACAGGCAGATAAGGTGGCAATGCATACAAATTTTACTGACTTCAAAAAAGAAAATCTCAGTACCTTAAAAAAAAAAAAAAACATTATGCCATAACAAAAACATGGCAAAATGCAAAGAGCATTCTTATTAAAGACTTAGGTACAAAATCAAACACTTTTATTCTAACAAAAACACGGGCGATCCAATTGCCAACTTAGCTTTACTACCTAGCGATTCAATGATCCAGAACAAATAGCCAGATAGTCAGACTTCAAATGTCACCATCAGTATAATTGCTGGGCATCAGTTCACTAGGTAGTGAAATCAGTATCAGGATGACAACCCTAAACAAGCAGTTTTAAAAATACATCAGCGATGGCATCTTCTACATGCCTTTCCTCATAGGTTCACTTTAAAGCTTAAATAGTTTCATTTTTTTTTCCCAGAAAGTATTACAGAATGCTTCTATAAGTTATAATGTAAAGGCAAAAGAACATTGAAAATCTTTCCATTGTGTATTTAAAATGTCAAATGTTCTGCTGTATCATATACAGCAAAGTAGTGACAGCATCTCCTCTAGAAATTAAGTTTATTTTTGTAGGATAAGCGGCCAAAACTAAGATTCTGCATATAATTTGACTTGACAGACTATAGCCGCAGTCATTTTGGCGGGTCCAGATAGTCGTGTTCGATGCGTAACCTTTCCCTCCATTTAAATGAAGGAAGCCAGGCGTGAAGTTTCAGAACACTGAGCTGTCAAACAGTACGGCGTTTCTCAAAAATAAATTGTGTACACAGTTTTTCCCCTCTCTTGCAGATTTTATGAGCAGTAAAAAAAAAGTCTTGATGTATTTTCTTTCTTTGTGCCAATTCAAAAAAAAAATTAAATATCCAGGTTGGACTGACAAGAGAATGCTGTCAAAATATTTTTGCTGCAAATGTAATTTACTTGGAAGCTCAGTAATGTCATGACCCAATGACATTGCTAGATAAGGTGGAAATGAGGAAGACAATCAGAGCCAGGCTAAGTTGTTCTTACCAAGTTTTTCAGTTATATTTGTGCATTTTTTTTTCCCGTATGTGAAAAACATTTGAGCAGGTACACTAGTTTTTCAGAGCTGGACAGAGTTTTAAAGAATCAAGATACTGATTGAATAAAAAACTGCATGATTCTGTATGTCTTGGTGCATGACTGACACGTGCAGCTGTGTAATTTCACATCTGTTTTTGAGGATCAAGGTGTAAATGTAGGAAGTCTTAGGGAAATTGAACACACACTTACTTTAAGGCGGACTTGTTCATGGATAACCACCGGCCTGTTGCTGAAAGTGATAGCGTTGCAGAAGCTTGCTTGCCTCTTTACTGCTTTCTGTGTGTTGTCCATCATAATCTGGGACCCCTTGGCATGGGGATGGAAAAGGAGAGGGCTGATGACTAGTCTGCCACATTGTGGCATCGGCATACAGTGCTTTTGCTTGTGATGGCATCGATGAGATGATGCTGGAAATGTCCCACCTATAGAGTCTAAAAAGAGAAAGAAGCTTGAGGGAAAAAAAAATATCTAAATTTACAGTAACTAAAAGACTAATTTTCATATGATGGTATGGAACTGATATCCTAAAATCTTAAAGAAGAATGGGCATATGCAACAAATTTGCTTTCTTTAGAATTTTGCCAATTTTGCCTAAATCGGGCAAATACAGTATCTTGTCCCTGCAGTGGCAGGCAGACACCTGCTGGTTAACTGCCCTTGGAGGAACATTTATCAGACAAGTCACTAATGACTATCACTATTGTTTCTCCCTTGCGGTGGGCAGCACATGAAGTTTCTGCCTGCACTGCACTCCTCATCTCATCTCCTCTTTCTCCTATTAGTCTCCCTCCCTCCAAAGCCTCTTCCTTCGGCTCATATTTACCTTATCAGTGGCAGCAGGCAATATGAGATATTTGAGAACAGGCCTGGACTGGCCATAGGGCACACCAGGCATTTGCCTGGTGGACTGGGTCAGCCTGGACAGGAGAGGCAGCCGGGCAGCACATAGAGGACCATGCATTTCTCGGTTCCTCTATGTTCTGCATGTCCTGGGCTCCTGTATGCCTCCCCGTGCCCCCCCCCCCCATCATCCCCTGGAGCACTGCGGGGGATCTGTCAGCATATCCCATCCCCAGTGCTAACAGTTCCCTGCCCACCACAGTTGGGAGAGGAGATAGAAAGCTGCCCTACCTCCTCCCGCCCTCTCCTCCTGTGTCTGCCCCGCTCACACTCCCTGCCAGCCTTGCGTCTTCTCTCCCCCTTCTTTCTTTCATTTATTTCTTTACTTCTCTCTTTCTTTCTTTTGTTTTTCCTTTCTTTTTCTTTCAGCCTCTGTCTTTCTTTCTTTTTTTATACTTCTCTCTTTTTTTCTCTCTCTCTTGGTCTCCTGTTTCTCTCCTTTCTTTCTTTCTCCCGTTTCTCTCCTTTCATTCTCTCTTTCTCCTGTTTCTCTAATATTTTCTGTCTCTCTTTATTGTATCTTTCTTTTTTATACTTCTTTCTTTTTATACTTTACTTTATTTCCTTCTTTTCATACTTCTTTCTTTTTTTCCTCTCTCTGTCCCGTTTCTCTCCTCTTTCTTTCTCTCTTACCTTTCTTTCTGTCTCCCGTTTCTCTCATTTTTCTCTCTCTTTTTTATACTTCTCTCTTTCTTTCTCTCTGTCTCCTGTTTCTCTCCTCCTTCTCTCTCTCTCTGTTTCCTGTTCCTCTCCTTCCTTCTTTCTCTCCTTCTATACATCTCTATTTCTCTCTCTCTCTGTCTCCTGTTTCTCTGCTTTCTTTCTTCCCCTCATTTTCTTTCTTCCCCTTTCCTTCCTTCCCTCCTCCTATACATCTCTCTTTCTCTCTCGGTCTCCTGTTTCCCTCCTTCCTTCTTTCTTTCCTGCCTTCCTTCTTTCTCTCCTTCCTTCTTTCCCTCCTTCTATACATCTTTCTTTTTCTCTTGATCTCCTGTTTTCCTCCTTCTTCCTTTTTTTCTTTCCCTCCCTCCTTCCTTTCTTTCTTTTCTTTAAAAGCATATTTAAAATGAATTACAGTCCAATCTTACAAGAGTTTAGTAAAGATGTACCATCCTTGGTGAAAATCTGTTCATGGGTGGGGAGAATAAATATTTTAAAAATGTACTTCCCAGAATTCTGATTTGATCAGATGCTGCCTATACAAATTTTGCCTATACAATTTCTCCCAGTGAACATTATCATTAAAATTAAAGATGTACAGTGGCTTGACTATGCCTGATTTTAGAAGATACTGCATTGCTGCTTTGTTGACAAGATTTATAGACTGGACATTAACAGATAATACAAAAAAAATGGGTTGCTGTGGAAAAATTCCCAAGTGGAATAGATCTATCAGAACGTTTATTGTTACCTCTTTCCTTACATTTTTCCACCTATAAGGTTGATGCTATGTCAGTGGGACCATCTCCATAAGCATCCCAAATGGTGCTATAATGCACTATTGTTTTTCAGATCTTTTTTTATTTAGTGTAAAAATACACATTTTTTCTTTACAACAGACACACAGACAAACGCACAACATTTGCGCAACACACTACAGTAGTACAAAGACAGTAATCATACAGGAAAAAAATCCACATCATGTGGATATATGACTTACAACAAAAAAATAAACAAATGCAAGTTGACCAGGAAGTATATTTTCTTCCTAGTGTCTCCAGCTGCACCCATCCCCACTCCGAACAAAGAAAATTCAGTCAACACATTTTAGAGATACACAATTATGAAGGGGCTTACATAATTATAGATAAAACAATTGACTTGCAATCATATGGAGTGGAGCCAGACCAGGGATAGCCAGCCATGGGCCCCACACAACCTCAAATTTTCTAAAACAATTTCTATGTTGAAATAGAAGTTTTTTCCTAGAGATAACAATATTAAGTTGAGATTTCCACTCTATTACAGAAGGTGGGCTAGGGGATATCCATTTCTGTGCTATCAATTTTCATGCTATATAAAGTAATCTAGTAACAGAAGGTATCAGTTCAGTGGGCATACTAGAATCAAACATATTAAGCAGACATAGCTTAGGCTCCGCAGTGAGGGGAATTTGATAAATAGAGGAAATAAGGGAAACAATATATAGCCAATATCTATGAAGTTTCGGACATCTCCACACCATGTCAATAAGATCTGCCGGGCCTCTGTCACATCTAGGGCACAAATCAGTATCCCTATGATTACAGCCAAACAATTTAGCCAGGATATAGTAAACTCTGTGAAGTATAAAAAAGTGGAGTAAGGCGCTCTGTTGGCAACAAGGACACCAGGGGGAGGGACTGCAATGCCCGCTCCCACAATTTCTCTGTCAAGGGTCCCAAATCTTTCTCTCAATCCCTCCTAGCTGGGATAGATGTACTAGAGTGTACTTCCGCCATTAAAGCACCATATAACTGAGAGATAAGCCACTTTTTAGAGTCAACCCGTTGAAGCAGCCATAGAATGGGATGTTTTTTTCACCACTATTTTATAGGTATGGGCCTGGGCAGCCAGAGCATGTCTCAACTGCAAATATTGAAAAAACGTCTGCGTTGGGATATTAAATTCTAGTTGAAGGGCTTGAAATTACTTTAAAACCGGGCCAATGTACAATTGGGACAAATACCTCACCCCTTTATCCTGCCAGATCCCAAAACCCTTCAACTTACCAACCTCCAAAAGGTGGGAATTATTCCACAACTGGGTGCTATCAGGAAAACCTTCCCATTGCAGCAACCTAATAACAGAAGACCAGACTTAATGAAATAGATCCAAAGTGGGAGAACATTGGGAGGGGAGCGAACATCGCATCCTGCACCTGGGAAATCAAAGAGTAGTCAGACCTAATGGATAATAATATTGCTTGAATAGGATCTGTAAAATCAAGTATATCTCACCCCAAAAAATACTGCAGCTGGGCAGCCAAAAAATAAATTCTAACGTGGGGAATGGCTAAGCCACCAGAATCCCATCCTAACTGAAGCATGGAGAGCTTAATTCAGGGAGACTTTTTTTTCCAGATTAGTTCTCAGAATAAGGCATCAATCTGTTTATAACATTTTTGATATATCCAGGTGGGGGAATTATGCAGGATGTATAATAATCGAGGGGCCCATGTCATTTTAATCAAGTTAGAGCAGCCAGCCAAGGAGAAGCCGACACCAGCCAGCAGGTTTTTGTTTACATTTGGTTAGGAGCGGAGCCCAATTCAACTCCAAATATCTAGACACCACAGGATGAATAAAAACACCTAGATACTTAAAGGAGTCAACAACCCGAATCTTAGACACAGTAGAAGGTAACTCCCTCTCCAATGGATCCAGTGGAAGCAAAACTTACTTGTCCCAGTTAATTCTAAAGCTTGAGAATCTGCCAAAAGAACAGAGCAAATCCATAAGAGCAACCAGAGAGAGCGCTGTGTATCTCCCAAATATAATAAAGTATCATCAGCATAGAGGCTAATCTTGTCTTCCCCAATACCTTGCCTAAAACCAAAAATATCAGCATGATGTCTAACCGCTATCACAAGGGGTTCCACTGCCAAAGCAAATAAAAGCAGAGACAATAGACACCCCTGCCTCATGCCTCTATGGAGGTCAAACGGCCCCGACAACGCTCCATTAATCCTGATCCTAGCTCGTCAGGATATAATTCACTATTAATGGCCATTATTGGCCATAAGCATCTCAAATAAAGCTAGAATTCACCATAAATGTCTATTACTAGCAATAATAAGTTTTCTCTAGGCTTGAATAATAGTAGTGTTTTTTTAATGGACAAAGAATCCCATATAAAACACTGTAATCATTTTTAAGGGGTTACCTCTCAAGTATAGTATCTATCTCCATAGCTTAATTATTGAAGTGTTGCAGAGGTTGTGATACAGAAGAACCTACTGCACTTTTTGGTCTAAAGCAGCAAATGTAATATTTAAAATCTCTAGTGATGCTATCCCCCTGGACTCCTGGGTCTGTTTATTTCATGGCTCTAATGTTTCAAATCAAGACTATTGTAATAGTTTAACTCCTCATTTATTAAACTCAGCAAGGAACAATGTTTCTTCACATTGGAAGCCATTATTAGCACTGTTTGTCATGTCTTGGTTTAATGAGATAGATCATTTAATGTTTCTGAAGGAATTATCAGTGTAATCGACAGACTTTGAATTGCAATTTTTGGGATGCTTGGAGAACTTTTAAAAATTCAAATCAGTATTTGCAGGTTTCTAGCTCTCTGAATGATGTTTGATCTTACTGTATAGTTGCAAATTGTATATCTGTACATTGCAGGGATATTATTTATATTCTTTAGACTTTGTCTGAGTTTAATGTTCAGGGTAGTCAACGCTTTTTATTTCTGCTTCTTGTTGTTTTAGTTTGTTCTCTATCTGCTTCTCCTGTGCAGCAGTTATATGGTGAATTATATTGTTAGGAAATGGACTGAAACAGATTTTTCTTAACAAAATATTTTCTAATAAAAATTAAATAAATAAAAAAAAGTTACTTTTTAGGCTCCATACACACTAG